CACGTGGACCTCAGCCTCAATGACCATGACACCAAGAGACTGACAGACCACAGGGATCTCAGCCTCAATGACCATGACACCAAGAGACAGGCCACAGGGATCTCAGCCTCAATAACCATAACACCAAGAGACTGACAGACCACAGGGATCTCAGCCTCGATGACCGTGACACCAAGAGACTGGCAAACCATGGGAATCTCAGCCTCGATGACCGTGACACCAAGAGACTGGCAAACCATGGGAATCTCAGCCTCAATGACCATGACACCAAGGGACTGACGGGCCACAGGGATCTCAGCCTCAATGACCATGACACCAAGGGACTGAGGGTCCACATGAACCTTAGACTCCATGCCCTGAGACCAGAGGAACTTGGTGGCGTCCAGCTACCACTGCTACGGGCTGAAGAGGATAAAACTAGAAGGTCCTGGAGCGAGTAGAAGGAAAATGTGGAACCAAGCCCAAAATCCTAGAAGTGACCAGTCTTAATGGTTTGCTAGAGGTTAGCAGAGCCCTTGGACAATGGCTCTTAGTCAGTTTTTAGGCCCAGAACTAAATGTACCCTCATGACTCAATGAAAAGCAAGACTAAGAGGTGAACAGACCATGTAAGACCAGGTAAGCACAGACTCATTAAACAGACCATCAGGTGACATCAAATGGCAGTGTTTCTTAAGGATAAAACCCAGAAGACAAGAAGGGGCAGAGAGAGGAACCATGGAGGTGGGTACCACAGGGAAGGAGCGGGGAGTATGCTGTGACATTGTGGGGCTGCAACCAATGTCACCAAAAAAAACCAAAAAACAAAACAGTGTCCTGATTTAATGGAACACAACTAGCGCTGTTGACTTCTTCCTAAATCACAGAGAGTCAAAGCAACACAACACCAAAAACTCCCAACAAAGATAGGAAGTGAAAAAAAAAAGATAGGAAGTGGACAGAGAAACCAGACAAATGGTAATGGCCCAACCTCATGAAAACACAATACACACACCTTGTAAAGACCTTAACCCACATCATGCAGCAATTTGTGTTGACTGGTAACCTGAACTGCTGTGTAAACCACCTCAAAACACAACAAAATATTGTTAAAACAAGAAAAATGAACCTGTTAGGGAAAAGAAGTACAAAGCCTTAAAGCTGCACACGTCACATGGCTGGGACACTCGGTGAGAGAGGACGTTTATGGGAGGCAGCCAGCCCCCTCTGTGCCCGGATCACAGAAGGAGGGCCAGGGGCCTTGTCTTCATACCTGGATCTCATCACCATGTTCTCCTATCACCTCCACCAGCCGCGAGAGCAGGTCGGACAGGGCATGGGCTGACAGCGGCTGCTTCAGGGCCCTGAAGATCTGGAAGGACCTCCCGGCGTAGTGCCTGGACGAGCTGGCCAGGGCCGTCTGCAGGGCGGCCTCGCTCAGGTGCTGCTCCAAGTGGGAACCTGGAGGGGGACCCAGACCGTGGTCAGCCTCCACTGTGCCAACCCGGGCATCCTCTCACCGGGAGGGTTAACGCAGCCGACGGGGACCCCTGGTATGCCGCCGCGGGGACTGGGAGGTGCCGTCCAGTCAGGCCTCACTGATGACCCGGTGCACAGAACCAAACCCAGCCTGGTCTCGTGCCGCCCGCCCAATCTCAGCCGTGCGGTCACCACAGCCACTGCGTACGCGATGCCTGAAGCGGCTTCCCCTCGTTTTGAGTGGAGCTTCCTCAGCAGATGCAGGCGGTTTATTGACGGAAGGGTTTGCTCCTCCCCGTCCTAAGGTGATCTCTCCTCCGAGGAGGCAGCTCTCCTCCAGGCGTATCTGGACGGTCATCCAGCCCGAAGGCCTGTGTCTGGTGCTGTGTCTGATAACGTGCTGCTACTATTCTGAGGACTTCCCAGGGCCCATCACTTCGGAAGTTGATGGCCGGGGCTACTTCCTGTCATCCTAGTCTAGAAGCTTCACTGAAACCTGTCCACCGCAGAAAATCCCACTATTCGAAATACTAGAGGCACAACTCCAGCATCACAGCACCGTGCAAGCCGCCCAGTACAGCAAACTGGGTTGGACTTATGTTAGCAGTTACACACGCCTCCACTAGGTGGAGGTCATGCTGATGTGGGACAGGAGCTTCCCACTAACTCCGAGGCAGAGAATAAAGATGTGTGCCCTGAGCCGTGGTCACTAACGGGTGGGAGGCCCAGTGCAGATGGACGCTCTGCGCTGTGGTCACTAATAGGCTAACGAAGGAGAGGGCGGCAGGCCCAGTCTAAGGTCTGGAGCAAGAGGAACCTGGTTCTGACGCAGGAACTTTTTGACTCTGGAGAAAGAAGTATTCTCTGTGAACGTGTTTCCTCATCTTTTGTTTGTGATTATTGACTCACATCTACCTCATCAAGGAGCTCTGCTGGTGTAACGGTTAAACGCTCAATGGCTAACCTGAAGGGTTGGTGGTTCAAACCCACCTGCCACTGCATAGGAAGAAGATGTGGTGGTCTAGCTTTCTAAAGCTCTCAGCCTTGGGAACCCTCTGCACAGCTCTCCTCTGTCCTTCACGGTCTCTGTGAACCAGCACTGACCTCACAGCAACGGGCTGCCCCGTGAAGGGGTGCTGATGGCCCAGAGGTTAACGTGAGTGCTATCTGAAAGGTCATGGTGCAACCTCACCCGGCCTCACCCAGAGAGAGACCTGGTGACGTGCTTCTGTGCAGATGACAGCTGCGAGCCCTGGAGCAGCTCTGCTCTGGTACACGAGGTCACCGTGAATGCGGAGGGAACCTGCTCATTCACTGTGGATGGAATGATGGACAAAGCCCTGCCCAGTGTCTGACGCAGACCGAGTGCACACAGGTGCGTTCTGGTCCTCTGTCTCCGCACGCTAGTCCTCTGGAGCTCTGGTGCCTTAGTGGCAAGGAGCTGTGCTACCAATCCAAAGGTGCACGGTTCAAACCCACCAGACAGGTCCTCTCCTCCAGTGGGATTTACTGCCTCTGAAAAGCCACTGGCGGGTAGGCTACGCATCAGTTCTGATGTGACTGGCCTCAGCATCAATATTCTTCTGTACCATAAAACAGTCTGACGCTCACACCTGGTTAAACATTTGGCTGCTAATCAAAGGGTTGGTGGTTCGAATCTCCCAGTGGCTTCTCCGAAGTGAGAGCAGATGATCTGCTCCAGTGATGACAGCAGCCTCGACCCCACAGGGTCCATCCTAGTTACAATCAACTCGAGAAAGAACTAAACATGAGATGAAATCTCTTAGAAGTCACAATACGCCATGGCAGCTACTAGCTAAGGAAATGATGCTGAAATAACAGGTTCCTTAAGCATCTGCTGTGCACTGGAGGAACCGTAGGAGCATAGTGTTGTTCCATCTGGGGCTGTCAAGGTCAGTGGTTCAAATCCACCAGCAGCTCCACAGATGAAGGATGTGGCACCTGTTTCCACACACATTTACTGTCTTTACCACTCTGGGGAAGCTCTTGCCGACAGTCCTGCTTCTGGTAGCCTTGCAGGAGGGAGCCCTGTGGAGTAACAGTTACAGGGTTCAGCTATAACCAAGAGGTTAGTGGTTCGAACCCAGCCAGCATTTCCAGGGGAGTAAGAGCTGGTGATCATCTGGTGAAGGATGTCAAGTGAGGAGCCCAACAGGACACTCGGCTGTCCCGTGGGGTCACCCTGAGTCAGGACCACCTGGACAGCAGTGCAGACACAGCAGTCACGCACGGAGACCAGGCCCCGTCAGGGCACGACACGGCATATGGTGTTGGGGACGCACGACAGCGTACCTGACTTGGAGTCCTTGAACACAGACACGACGTGGTGCAGGAAGTTAGTGAGCTGCTCTGCACTCTTGCAGTTCTGGTTTTTGGGGGTGATGTCTTCATGGCACCAGAGTGGCCCAAATGCCCTGAAATGAAGCACATAAAATAACAAGCCACGGGCAGAAAGGAACCGTCCTCCTGCATTAAAAAGCCCTCAGCAGTCCTAATCCTGGAGGTGGGATGTAGCTCAAAACCCAAACGAACCGTTCACCAAGTCTTCTGTCTGCCTTAGTCGGCTGACAGCCCAGCTCTGGTGGTGGAGGCCACAGTGAACTGCGCTGCTGATTCCATGGTGGTTCTCCGGCGGTTCGAATCCACCAGCTGCTCCACAGGAGAAAGATGGGCCCCCTCGCCCTGTGTGATTTACAGCCTCTGAAAACCTGCTGGAGGCTGAGCTAGGAGTCGGTCCTGAACCAATGACAATGAGTCTGAGGGTGTTTTTGAAAAGTGAACAGACTCAAAACTGATGTTGCTAATTTAGAGACTTAAAAAAATTTCTTGGCAATACAAAAACCTCAATTCATCAGAACAGTGAGCCTTGAGAAGGTGGTGCATGGAATTCGTTAAATAGGGTTAAACAGAAACCCACTGTGCCTGGGTTGGTTCTGATTCATAGAGACCCTGTGGGATAGAGTGGAACTGGCCCGGGGGTCCACGGTCACCTCGCGGCCATCTCGACGGGAGCGGACGGCCACACTTCTGCACAGGGACTGGTGAGTCTGAACTGCTGATCTTACAGCTAGTAGCCAAGTGCTTAAGCACTGCACACCAAGGTGCCTTCACACTAGGCCTGGGGGGCTCAGTCACTACACTGGGGAATCCTCACATTGGGGACCAGGCATCATAATCAATCCCTGCACTGCGTGATCATCACATTGAGGACCAGGCATCGTAATCCATCCCTGCACTGGGTGATGAATCAGGAGACCCAAAGGACCTGGAGCATAGAGCACGTTGTTATGTTCTGCGGAGTCAGCTATGGCCCAGTGAGTTTGTCACCAGAGATCTGGCGCGCCCTGCCTTGCCCTGCCCTGTTTTCACCACCTCTGACATGCTCGAGCCCACTGTGACGGCCTGGTGTCAGCCCACCTTTTTTTTTTTTTTAGAATTCTCACTTCACTTTAATCACTGATACTCAGCTTTTACAAATAATCTTGGAACAAGTCAGGTAACGAAAGTTCTCAGGACAATTCGTGGTTCTTTACAGGAAGTACTCGGTGGCACATGCTCTGGTTCTCTGCAAATGACTCTTGATGAAGGTCTTCCTTCCCTTCCCCACCCTCGACCTCTTCCAGCTCAGAGCCCAGAGTCCACGAGACCACACTTCACCATCCCCGCCTCTAAGGAGCCCCAGCTGCACTTCTCCGCTGCAGTCTTGTTCGTCCAGGGACAGCCAGCGCCTCTCACCAGTGCCATGCAAAGCCGCACCCCAAGCAGGGCAGCCTGCAGCTTCTGTTCTGCATCAGAATTTGATCTCAGTTCAGCTCGTGTCCTGTCATGCATCACTGTCACTGGTTTCTGTCTTCCTGGAGTTAGTGGCTCTGTGGACTTCATGGGCTGGTCATCTCCGGGGCCCCTCAGAAGCCTCAGCCCCTGGCAGCTCTGCCGACAGTTCAAGTCCTGGTCACCAGAGGGCACTAATGGGCCCCGTTCTGCCTGCCGTGTCACGGTGATGCTCAGAACATCACCCATTGATGGTGACCACAGTGGGAGCTGGGATGTCCACCTGAGCTGCCTTCTACATGCTGCTGCACCGTGCTGGGGGTCTGCCCTGAATGGGGGGGTCTGCCCTGAGTGGGGGGTTCTGCCCTGAGTGGGGGGTCTGTCCTGAGTGCTGGGGTTCTGCCCTAAGTGCTGGGAGTCTGCTCTGAGTGGGGGGTCTGCTCTGAGTGGGGGATTTGCTCTGAGTGGGGGGGTCTTCTCTGAGTGAGGGGTCTGCTCTGAGTGCTGGGGGTCTGCTCTGAGTGCGGGTGGGATCTGCTGAGTGCTGGGGGTCTGCTCTGAGTGGGGGGTCTGCTCTGAGTGGGGGATTTGCTCTGAGTGGGGGGGTCTTCTCTGAGTGGGGGGGTCTGCTCTGACACACAGCAGTTGCATGTACAATGGAAGCTCCCGGCCCTGTGCTGTTCTCACGAAGCAGCTGTGCTTCACCCGCTGTGTCCACTGTGCTCCTCACTGGGCAGGACACTTCCTCCAAGGCTGGTCGCCGGGACGCTGTCCCTCCGAGGCTGGTCTCCACATGCCCCAGGCCCACCTCACCGTCCTGGTCTCTCAGCAGCGCTCAGGCTGCACTTGCTCCATGACAGACCTGTCTGCCCCAGCGTTCGTCCCTGGGCTGCTCTGAGTTCTTCACCAACAGCCGCTTGGCCCACTGCCCACGAGTGGGCTCTCACTTGGGAGCCCTGCAGGATGGAGGAGAAGCACCCAGCAGCGTCTCCAGGCTGCGTGTCTGTGGAGTGGACTGCCTTAGGTCTTCCCCGAGAGCCATCAGTGGCTTTGAACCGCCGACCTCTGGGCCACCAGCTGAGCTCTTTACCACTGTGCCACCAGGCTATTTACACAGACTTCAGCAGATGTCACTCGGAAGAGAACAAACGGCTTTGGTAGAACTCGAGGCTTTCTTTTCCATCCTCAAGGCTCCAAGTGTGAGTTCTCTTCCAAAAGGCTGGTAATAAACCAGTGGTGTGGGCCAGTGCTGTCCCCAGGCCCACTGTTCCCACTGAGGCATCACCTCCTCCATGCACTGAGCCCCTACCAGGACTCTCAGATCCTTACCAGTGGCCATGAGCACTTTGAATCACACAACAGAATGTGATAAACTCATGGCTAAAGCTCATAATTACCATAGTTCTTAAATTCCAGAAATACTAACAGCAAATTATGTTGTGAAATTCAATCACAATGCCATTACTAACTCTGTGGAAACCTTTTAAACTTTCTTCTTCTTTTAATTACTACTTCATTCCCTCTAAAAACGTATTGACCTAAAATTCCAATAAGATCATAGTGGAAACACCAGAATGTCTGGCCCAATTTCTTGTTCACTGGTGTCGAGGTGGAACTGAACCATTTTAAGAGGCAACTGGTGGATTCAAACCCCCAGAGAGGCATGGTTTTGGGTTAGAAATGCAAGTGCCGATGGACTATGTCACCAAAGCTCCTTTTGATAAAATCAACCAAAAGGAACAGACCAGCAACAATGTCAACAGTGTGTCTGCCCAGGGCTCTGTGCTGAGTGGACCACATGAGGGGAGTGACATTGCAATGGGAAAAAATGGGGCCCTGTCCAGAGCACACGGCTGGTATTGTGAACTGTTGAGTCAGAACTGACTCATAGCTGACCCTCCAGTGGGTTTTCAGAGGCAGAAGAATCACCTGGGAGGAGATTGCCCATCTTTCTTTCGTGGTGTGGGCACATGGAGAGAGGTGGATTCAAACTGTATACCTTTGGGATGGCAGTGCAGCTTCTTACCATAGGCCACCAGAGCTTCCTCAGAGCACACATTAGAAGGTCTAAAAATTCAATTAGCATAGAAACGTAGATTTGTGGTGGTCTGATAGCTGCATGCTAGTATCACAAAATTTGTTGTTTTACCTGAATTCTGGGAGTTTTTATAAAAAAAGGAATGCATTTCTGCTTAAGCATGACACAACGATGTTACACAGCTTTCTTGGGGTCCTATCTGTGACAGTGTTGCCGGACCACCCGCCAGGCCGTCTCTGCTGGGAGCCCTGGACCTGTACCTGGTGGTCAGAAACTCGATGAGCTTGTTGGCCTTCTCATCGGTCTCGACGGCCTCCACGTCCTCCACTTCCTGGCTCATGTGTGGGAGGTTCCCGCTGCTGCCTCCCAGGCTGATGCTGGATGAGGTAGAACTGGAGCTCAGCCCAGAGTCGGGCACAGGTGAGGACTGGTCCTCCCTCAGGAAGTCAAAGCCACCTGGACAGAGAGGGGGAGATGGAGTGTAATGTGAGCAGTGGTCCTCCCGAAGAGAGTCACACAGTCACCAGAGGAGGAGTAGTCAGGGACATGGTGTGTGCGCATGAGGACCGTCCTCCAGGGGACACAGTGTGCACAGGAGGACAGTCCTCTACAGGAGGTTAGGGGACATGGTGTGAGCACACCAGGGCAGTTCTCCACAGGAAGTCAGGGACCCGGGGTGGGCACATCAGGACCGTCCTCCACAGGAAGTCTCAGCCACCAGTGGAAGGGTCCTGGGGATCCACAGCCCCGGGGGAGACGGCTAGGGTGCTATGAGGTGACCCCAAAAGCAGTCTACACTGCATCTTTCTGAGGTAAATACTCGATTTTGGTCTAAGATGCCTCAGACAGCCCACATGGTGATCCCACATGCACATATGTTAAGGTTCAAGTGTATTCTAGGAGTTTGCTCTCTTTTCAACTGTGGTTTGGATGCAAGTTTCAGAGCTAACTGGGTTTCTGCTCAACATTCACACACATTCTATGTAGCCAGTGTTTCAGCGAAGCAGACAGCTCATCGTTCTCCCATCAGGTGTGGATGGATTTGAACTGTTGATCTTCTGTATGGCAGGCCAACACAGAACACACTCTACACCCCTAAGGCTCCATGATAATTGGGAAAATAGGGAACCATATTTAAAAACAGGGAATAATGTGAGAGGCTAAAAGGGATGTGTTCCTATGAAGTGAAGTAAGATTCCTCAAACCATGACAGTATCACTTGGGGACTTGGAGGGGACACTGACGCAGGCAGTGCCTGCAGTCTTTTCCCCTCCACCTCGTTAGTGGGGTGTCGTTCCCTGAGTCTCATTACCTGAGTGTCATCACCTGCGTTTCATCAGCAGTATGTCATTCCCTGCCCCTCGCCCTGTCCCCTGCGCCCTGCTACCTGTGTGTAGTTACCTCTGTTTCATTAGCACTGTCTCTCCCTGAGCCCCTTTCCCTGGCCCCCGTCCCATCCCGTGCACCCCGTTACCTGTGTAAAGGCTCTCGGTCTGGTAGACTGGCTCCTGCCCCCGTGCCCCCTTCCCTGCCCGTGTCCCCTGCGTCCCGTACCTGTGTAGAGGTGCTTGGTCTGGTAGGCTGGCTCCTGTCCCCTGTGCCCCCTTCCCTGCCCATGTCCCCTGCGTCCCGTACCTGTGTAGAGGTGCTCGGGCTGGTAGGCCGGCTGCACGGTGAGCGTCTTGGCTTTACTCATCTCCCGCGTCTGCAGCAGCACAGAGGCGATGCTGTGAAAGCTGCTGTTGGAGGACAGCGCGATGAGCAGGTGCAGAAGCAGCTTCTTGCTGTGCTCGAAGACCTCGGGCCGGTAGTGGTCCAGGCCTGGGGGGACAGCGGGGCCCTCGCTGGGCATAAACAAGCTGGGGCTGGCTTGCATTCCGGGGATAGCAGGGATTCTGAGACACCGGAGGAACGGGTTCCAAGCGTGCCTCTGGTTCATAACCATCTGCTTTACCCGCTCGAAGGAGCCGGCTTTGGGAGACAGGACATTCTCTCCTTAAACCGAATGTTCTCATGAAACGCTGTGGGGCGGGTGCGTCTCGACCTTGCTATAGTGTCTGGCATGGCTAACATTCTTCCTTCTGGATGTTCTCTCGCCGGGTCCACCCATCACTGAACGATGCTAATTTTATCCCCTGCTCTCTGGCTGCACCTCTCTGGCTGTCAGCCCCCGAAGCCCTTCCCCCCACAGTTTGGGAAATCTTGAACGCTCGATCCGGCACTTTCTGTACCTTGTCTTGTTTTTCTTTGCACTATGGTTGCATTAGTGTTATTGTGTACTGTTGAATGAGAACCTATTCATAGCTGACCCTCCAGTGGGCTTTCAGAGGCAGTAAATCCATCCTCCCCCCATGGAGCAGGGAATAGTCTTGAACCACGTGCCTCTGGGTTGGCGGTGCAGCTCCCCAGAGTGTGGCTCTCAAGTCATTATATCTGGCCAAGCTGCCCACTTGCCATCAAGTTGATTGCAACTCGTGGCAATACTGAAGGACACAGCCAACCGGCCCTTGGCTTCCGAGGCCACAGTCCTCGCTGATTTGTACGAACATGGTTTACATCCCTTCCACAGAGCAGCTGGTGGGTGCCGACCACCCCCCTTTCAGTGAGCATCTCAACGCCTGTACCACTGAGCCATCCACGTGCTCTGTGCTGAGCACCCCACTACTTCTAGGATCTTTCATGGAGGCAGACAACATTCACCCCCTTAAGACATAATCAGGGAGCACCTGTACCTCCACTGCTGTCACATCAACCCTGGCTCATGGGGACCCCACAGGACAGGTGTCTCATCCAGTTTCCATGACTACCACCTTTCTTGGAGAAGACGGCCTCATCTTTCCTCCACGGAGTACCTGGTGGATTCGACCCACTGACCTTTTGGTTAGCAGCCAACAGCTTTAACCACTTCCCTGAAGGCCCACCTCCTTTTGACTACCTTTGTGGATACAGTGTTTCTACAGGGGCAGTTACTGACATTATAGCAACAGGACAATTGTAAATCATCAGGAATCACTTGAGCTTTGCAGATGTCACAAACGACAATGAGAAATGCAACTGACCAGTGACTTCTGAGAGGGGCATGCAGGCCATCTGGTAAAGGGGTCGCTGCTGACGGCCTCATGTGTGCGTGGCCCTCCCAGCAGGGACCCTGTCGCCCAGCCTTACCCAGGAACACGGCGTGGAGCAGCAAGGGGAGGTGAAGGGCCCAGTCTTCGCGCACACTGTGATCCACCACCATCTCAGTCAGAAAAATGACAGCGATGTTGCATCTGATCAATGAAACACAGATGAACTTCTGCAGAGCAGGGAAGACTAGAGACCCTCATTATAAACCCCAAGCCCGATCAACGGCTGCAGGCACATCCTGACCCCCGGCGAGCCCCCACTGAGTTTCCTGGACCATAAACCTTTATGGGACGGGATGCTCACTGCTCTCCCAGGGAGCAGGTCGGAGTTCTCACCACTGACCTTCTGTAACAGACTGGCCTCACCACCAGCGCTAACACCTGTGGGGTAACGGCTTGTATTCCAGGGAAATGAAGCTCCCCTTCCGAGATTCCACACGGATTCCCAAGAAGCACCAGCTGGGCTGACTGCACACTGAGGTGGTCTGTGGCGGAAGCTGTCTTCAACAGCGTCCTGGTTCCCTTAACCCCGTGCGACAGAGAACTGCCCCTGGGGTCTCCCAGGCTACCTACACACTCAGACAGCTTCCTCTTTCTCCAGGAGAGCCGCTGGTGGGTTTGAACTGCCAATGTCCAGGTTAGTAGCAGAGGCCTTAAGTGTTAGCCCACCCAAGACCCACTGGTCTGAAGTCGATACCAACTCCTGGCATCCCTGAGTGACTGAGAAGAGCCGCCCCCTCGGCCTGCTGGTGGCCATCATCCTGGGGCAGACCACCAGGCCCTTCTCCCATGGCGCCAGCGAGTCCCCCTCTGTCCACAGTGCTCACCGATGGAGAGGCCCTCGCAGGGTGATGGTTTCAGGGAGGTAGTCGACCAGGGGCGCCCAGCAGCCTCCGGTGCAGGGCATCGGCAAAGGCTGCGGCTGCTTGGTCTCCACGATGGTCAGCAGCCAGCTCGTGTAGGGAGAAACGGGGTCGTCTGCCGGGAGAGGCCAGCTCGTGAGCTCACAGGAGGTTCCCACGCTCCCTCCGAGGTGGCCGTGAAGCCCAAGTGAGAACCGAGATTCAAACTAGTGCTTGAAAAACCCCAAACCAAACAGCCTGCAGCAAAACGTCTGCCGGCTAGTGGCCCAAGATGAGATGCATGGTGAAGAGCCACGCAGGGCGAAAAGCTGCTTCCTCCTGGCTCCTCATTTGACTCAAATGCAGCCTGCTATCGTCAGTTTGCTCTGGACTGAAACCTTCTTTGGTTCTTTCAAACCCCATATCCTTTCAATACTTATGATGACAGCAACAATGCAGACCAGGAACATTAAGGACTAGAGAACCAAACATCGAACGTCCTATGCTGATGCGAGGGGTTGTGGCCCAAGCCCCAGTGACAACCAGGGAAACCCACCCAGTCTGCCGTGCCTCACCTCGCCCCGCCTCACCCCGCCCTGCCCGGCATCCCCCCACCTCGCCCCGCCTCACCCCGCCCTGCCCGGCATCCCCCCACCTCGCCCCACCTCCCCCCGCCCTGCCCCGCCTTGCCCCCACTCCTGCCTCACCCGGCTCCATTTCACCCCACCACACGCAGCCCCACTCCCCTCACCTCATCCCATCTCACCCCACCCCACCCCACCTCTCTGCCTTGCCCCACCTCACCCCACCTCACCCCACCTCACCCTGCCCTGCTCCACACAGCCTCGCCCAGCCCCCTCTGCTGTGCCCACCGTGATAGCCATGGTGTCTGCTCACATCTTTGAAGGTCTTGTTCCCCTTTTCTGGCTGGCCCCTAACATCAGGGATTTTTAACACTTATGAACTCAATTTACTGCCAAGTTTGAACAACTCACAGCTGACCCTCCAGCAGCTTTCCAGGGCTGTAAATCACACATGTGAGGAGACGGCTCAGCTTCCTCTCTGGGGTCCACTGGTGGATCTGAACCACCAGAGAGGCTTGACCTCGGACTAGCAGCTCAACACCCAGCCAGGACTCCCAACAGTCGCTCTTGTAAGGTGCCATGGAGTCCACCCTCACTCCTGGTGCCTCCCTACTTGTACCCTGCCTCCTAGTGCCCCACTGTGTGCACCTCTCCTGCCACCCCCCACATATACCCCACCTCCTGGTGCCCCCCTGTGTGCACCCCACCTCCTGGTGCTCCCGGTGCACATCCCGCCTCCTGGTGCCCCCCTGTGTCTAACCCGCAGAACTCTGGTGGTGGTGCAGGTAATGTGTCTGGCTGCTAAACCAAAGGTTGGCAGTTGGAATCCACCAGCAGCTTCGAGGAAGGAGGGTGGGCAGTCAACTCTGTGAAGATTTGCGGCCCAGGAGTCCCATGGAGGGCCCCCCAGAGCCACTCAGTGTACTGGGGCTGGGGCTTTGCCCCTCCTGGTCCCAGTGGTGCCTGGTGAAGTGTTCAACTCCTAGCCGTAAAGGTCATCATTTCACACCCACCTTGGGAGAGAAGTGCAGGCTGCTTCCGCTGACAGTGGCAGCCTCAGGGACCCTGTGGGGCAGTTCTGCTCCCTCAGTGTGGGTCACATGTGACTTGGGGGCAGTGTGTATGTTTGTTTATTTTGGTGTGGCTGTGGCCTGAACCATGTCAGCCCCACCCATGCCATGAACACTTCCCCCACAAGCTGTACCCTGTGGTACATTTTGCAGCTAACAGGAGAAGTAACTATAAAGAGAACAAAACCCTAGAGGGTGGTTTCCTCCATCCTCAACAGTGAATCACACGTGGTCACAGGGCAGCATTCACTAAGGGGGCAATGGCTTTCAAACAAGGAGGAGGACCTGGGGACAGAGACAGTCGATGAACAGAGCCAGAGCAAGCAGAGTGGGGCTGGTGAGAACGCTCACAGAGCGTGAAGAACAGCCCTGCTGGGACCGGACAACCTGTGCTGTAACTGGGACCC